AGACTCTTATCTTTAATTAACCACCAGAAAGCCAGAAGTGGTGCTGTGGCTCAAGTGGTAGAGCTCTAGCCTTGCTGAAGTGTTGAGGGACAGTACCCAGGTCCAGAGTTCAAGCCTCATAACCAACCCTTCCCCCAAAAAACAAGTATCCAGTATTTGGAAAATGAACTATGCAACTTGTGGGCAGGGAAGAGAGGAAGAAACTGGGGAAAAGTGAAGAGAATGGTGACACTGTCCAAAAAAGAAATGTACTTATTACTTGAAGTATAGAGTAATCCCTTTATACAACACCTTAATACATAAAATTATATATATTTTTGAAAAGTGTCCATTGAAATGTGCTCATTACCTGAGTTATCTATACATCATGTTTATTATAATAAAAAACGTTTAAGTGTCCATTTAATTTACAAATGAATTTTCCACATCTACCACAGGGCTGATTTACCTGTATTTCTCAAAGAACCATAAAATCCACAGAAATATATAAGAAGGAAATAGTTTTCCTTACTGTCATGAAGGTAAAGTAATAATTTCATTGAATATAAAATGATCATCTTGGGATAATTATTTCCTCATAAATGTATGGAAGTGGTGATATGGCTCAAAGTGGTAGAGGGCTAGCCTTCAGCAAAAAGAGCTCAAGGAAAATGCCTAGGCTCTGAGTTCAAGTCCCACAACCAACAATAACAACAAAAAAGTCAACATTTAATAGCAAGAATTCAAGTTTTCTTACTTTAAATAACTCATGCTAAACACATAAAGAGAATTTAGATGGACTGTGAGGATTGCTCTATCTTTCTGATTATAAACAACTTTTCTTTGCTGGGGGCCAGTCTTAGGGCTTGAACTCAGGTCATGTACATTGTCCTTGAAATTTTTTTTTTTTTTTTTGCTAAAAACTATCACTCTACCACTTGAACCACAGCTCTACTTCTGGCTTTTTTTTGGGGGGGAAGGGGTAGCTAATTGAAAATAAGAGTCTCACAGACTTTCTGCTGGAACAGGCTTTGAACCATGATCCTCAGATCTCAGTCTCTTGAGTAGCCAGGATTATAGAAGTGAGCCATAAGCACTGGGCATATAGAAGTTTTCTTAAAAGATTATATGGGATCTCACCAAACCTAACATCTGAAAGCAATGTAAATGAATATTTCCATGTCTGGTCAAAAGTAGCTGTACTTCCTTAACCAGCTAAGTGAAATAACTGAACTATGTCTCCCTTAAGAAAATCAGAGAAAGCTAGGAGTATTGTTGCTTAAGCCTGCAATCTCAGTCATTAAGGAGGCAAAGATAAGGTGGATCACAGCTCAAGGACAGCCCAGGCTGTCCATTTCAACAACAACAACAAAAAGCTGAGTATGCTCACATATGCCTGTTATCCCAGGTATTGGGAGGATATTGGTAGAAGAATTGCAGTGTAAGGTCAGTCTTAGGCAAAACCATGAGACCCTATCTCAAACAAAAAAAGGGCTGGGGATGTGGCTGAAGTGGTAGAGTACCAGCCTATTAATGGCAAGGCCCTGAGTTTAAGCCCTAGTACCACCAACAAATCAACAACAGAAATAAAACCTTGAGCCAGAATCTTAATTTATAGGTCTCCTCATCATCTGTATGTACATTCTCCCTTTTACACTTCTCTCCGAACACCAGCAGATGCTGTTTTAAAACATTTTTTAATACAAAAAAATCAAGTTTTATTCTAAAAGCAAAAACAAAAACAAAGGTTTCACTTAATATTAAAGCAGACCTGACAGAGTGCATATTGAAGGTGAAACAGAATTCAGCTCCTACTTTATAGTATTCAGGTTACTCCAAGCTCCACCTGGCAGTGAGCACACCAACTGATCATAGAGATGAAGCAGCAGGGTCTATTGCATTCCAGAGACTGTTAGTCTAAGGTTCCACTTGTACAATCTGATCTATTCAGGAATGAGAGTCTAGAACAGTACACAGGGACCACATGTTAATCCTCTGGCTGCCTCTGAGTGTGCACTGTGCAACTCACTAAATCCTTCTGGAGTTTGGCTTCCCAGTGATAACAGGGATTATATTCTGTCCTTATCATTTCTTAGCAAGCCACTGGAAAAAAATCACTGAGCTGGTGCCAGGCTCTATGGTTCTAGAGTTAGACACATTCAACTTGGTAACTGCTATTAATGGCAACTGGAAATTCCTACCAATATTCAGATATAACATATATGATGTATGTGAATACCATGTAATGTGAATGTTCTTTAAAAATGAAAACCATTTGATACAAATACTAAATTGGGAGAAGTACTAGTAAATGTAGAAAAACAATCTGCAGAGTTAACAAGCAATACACTTTTTTCAGAGGTTATGAGATAATATATATCAAAGGGCCCCACACAGAACTGGGGTGCCATATGTTTCCACTGTACTTCCTAACTTCTTAGTGACTATAACACTGGAGTTTTGCTCGTAGTGCTAGAAGCAAACTGACTATGCCCCAACTGGGAGGAGCTGGCAGTCAGAGCCAGGCGGCTAGAGGAGAGAGAAGACTTCATTTGTTTTTCACTGATTACTCAAGATGGTTAACATTCCCAGAGCTGGGTTACACTAAAACTCAAGTCAGCTCTGCTAATATTAAATCATCTAAGTTCATCATTTCATTCCTACCAATTGGTTGAAATTTCCCTCTATAGCTTAATGGTTCAAACATTAAAATTTCCAGGGCTGGGAAGGTGGCTCAGTGGTAGAGCGCTTGCCTTGCATGCCTGAGGCCCTGGGTTCGATTCCTCAGCACCACATAAGCAAGAAGAAAAAAGCTGGAAGTGGCACTGTGGCTCAAGTGGTAGAGCGCTAGCCTTGAGCTGAAGAGCTGAGGGACAGCACCCAGGCCCAGAGTTCAGGCCCCATGACTGGACTCAAAAAAAAAAATTAAAATTTCCAATGCTTAGGTTCTATAGGTGCACTTCAATTCAAAATATTCACATTTGCGATATAGAACAAGCATGGTACCATTTTTAAGTGCATTATCTTTGATTTTTTCTTCCATAACATTCTGGATTCACTGAACTATGACTCTTTTTGGTTAAGATCAATTGTGTGGAGGAAACATTACCTTTGGTAGATCAGCACTTTACAAAAATTATAATACATATGCAACTCTCACTTGGATGACAGATTTTCATGATGCAATAATGACTTAAATTAAATATATGTCAACTTATTTTCCTACAAAACGATAACTGATAAGGCTTTACCCTGCGTCAACTTGGCTAGGCTATAGTGCCCAGCTTTTCCACCCAGCCCATTATAAACGTTACTATAAAAGTTTATACATGAAATGAGTATTTATAACAGTTGACTTTAAGATTATCCTTGATAATGTTAATAAGCCCTATTTAATAAAGGCCTTAAAAGAAAGAAATAAACAAAACCAACAGATTTACAAAAAAAAAGAATTCTACCTCAAGAATTCTGTAAAAACACAGAAATCCTGTCAAAACTTCAGGCATATTGGCCTGCTCTACAAATTTTAGACTTGCCAGCCCTGACAAGTGTACAAGTCAGCCAAACAGTCAAGTTTTTTCTCCCTCTTTCTCTCCCCTCCCCCCCCCCCCCCCCCCCCCCCCCCCCCCGCCGCTGTGCGTCTATGTATTCTATTGGCTCTATTACTCTGGAAAACTAATATACCCTTTGGTTCAAGGGGGAAATACTATCACAACACTGCATAAAGTAACAAACAGAAATAAAACCAAACAGTGAAGTGACATTCTTAAGCCCATGGTACACAATATAGAGTTGTAGAAGATGGCAGACAGTATGGAACCCTCTAACACAATCACCTTAGTCAATGTTCTGTTCTTAGTCAATGTCTGTTCTTTAAAAAAAAAAAAAAAGGCCAGGAAGGTGGCTCAGTGGTAGAGTGCTCGCCTTGCATGCATGAGACCCTGGGTTTGATTCCTTAGCTAAAGTGACCATAAAGCAAACACAATGTTATGATCTATAGCTTTCAAGCTATTCAGTTCAATTTCATCACAACCTTGAAATACAATAATACAATGAAGGACTACTAACTAAACAGCACATGTATTTGACTCACAGCTGAATCAGATTCAATACTCATACTCCAAACAGGAAGGCCTGGGCCTAACAACTGTGCCAATCAAAAACCTCATGGAGTCTCTAGACATGGAGTCTTTGATTGAAAACATCTAGTTTCCATTTTGCTAGAATATTAGCATTTCTCTACTTACTGTGAATTATAATCATTCAAAGGGCTCCAACAGGGCTGGGAAGGTGGCTCAGTAGTAGAGTGCTTGCCTTACATGCATGAGGCCCTGGGTTTAATTCATCAGCACCACATGAGCAGAAAAAGCCAGAAATGGTGCTGTGGCTCAAGTGGTAAAGTGCTAACTTTGAGCTGAGGAGCTGAGAGGCAGAGCCCAGGCCCAGAGTTAGGCTCCACTACCAACCAAAAAAAAAAAGGCTCTAACAAATGGGTCCTCAAGACCCATTTCAGAACAACAGAACCTGTAGGTTGATTCTGTGCTGCTTTTTTGTTGTTGCTGGTTTTCAGTTCTGGGAGTCGAATCTAGAGCTTGTACATGCTAGGTAAGCACTCTAATACTGAGCTGTAAGTAATCACTCAGTCCTTGTTTTTACTCAGTATTTATAAGAAGGAAAAAAAGCTCCCAGGCGACTCATGCAATGGCCTTGGTGAAAATTACAGTCCTTTCTGGACTCTAGTTAAACTTGGTGTACCTTGGGCTCAGCAGTTTACAGCCACAGAGACTGGGACTATAAGCTAAGTTCTTGAAACCTAACCGTGAGTCAATGGGAAGCCAAGAAGATTATATGAGAAGGTTGCAGGTAGAATAATTCACCTGTTGGTTGGGTTTCCCTAATTTAGTTACTCTTTATTTTTTTATTTTTTTTAGTTACTCTGAAAATTTAACTTCTTCAAGGGCTCAAGGAAAAGAGTGCCCACTGCAGTAAGTCAGCCAAAGCAGGGAGTCAGCTCTCCTTACCTGTTTGGCTTCCTCAGCTGTGATGGAGCTTCCAGAGGCTTCATCTTTGGAGATCAGTGTAATTCCATCTAGAAAGCAATTCATAGGACAAATTTCAGTCAATTCAACTTCTATTGCCTTTCTATCATACCTCTGTCCATCTTTACTCTGGAGATGTTTGTAAACAATAAATGCTGTTCTAGAGAAAATATAAAACTGTAATAGCAATTAATGTATACTATCCTGTCATCTCACATTACTTTCTCTCCTGTCTTTACTAGTATAATGAGCAAGAAAGCTACATCTTAAGTTTTACCTGCTCCATGAAGTTCTTCCTTGATCAGCTCCAGACAGAAATAGCCTCCTCTTTAGAATTCTCAGGTCACTTTGTTTATGTCTTTGAAATGCCTTTTATTACATCCTGTATCATCACTATGTGTGCCTATGTTATCTCTCCTAATGGACTATACTTGTCTGAAGGGTAGGGGCTATCTTATTCCTCCTTAAATGCCTCTCCATGTACTAAATGTGTGATACTCAATAAATAAATGACTGAAGGACTTTATACCCAGTGTGGGATTCTGCAACATTCTGACTATGTCTACTGATGGAATAGCCAGAGGACTAGATCAGGTGACCTCATGATTTTCAACTGCCATATGTATTTAACACAGTTCTTTGATTTTTACTCTGTGAGGGTCAATCAAGGATAGATATCTATTCTCTAGTTTTCTCTTCCCCTAAGCTATTTCTCTATCTCAAATGGTTGATGAAGGATACACTTTCAGAAAAACACATGAATTAAAATCTATTTGCACCTAGAAACGGCACAGATTGTGTATATTCTCTCAATGGTAGATAAGCCCTTAGAAAATGTGTATCCTGTAAGTTTCTTTTCAGCAAATAATATGCTATAGAATTCAGTAATATAAGCCCTTAGAAAATGCGTATCCTGTAAGTTTCTCTTCAGCAAATAATATGCTATAGCATTCAGTAATCACCAGAATCAACCTATTTCATCTACGGGGTCAGCAACAGAGACATAGAGAGCAAGCCCTATTTACCACCCATCCTAATTGCTTTTGCTCCCGAGTGCAGAGGTTAAAGGGCTGAAAAATTAACTGTCAGGGAAATGGTTGCCTGTGTGATAAAATGCTGCCTGCTAGAAACAAATTCTGGCTTCTGATCAAAAGTAAAAAAGTTTCATTCCATCTCTAAGCATGTTTTCATAATATGTATTTCTAATAAATAAGATCTACACTTGGGTTCTGAAAATAAAAACTGGGTTTTATATATACACATATATTTTTTTTGGGGGGGGCGTCGGTCGTGGGGCTTGAACTCTGGGCCTGGGCGCTGTCCCTCAGCTCTTCAGCTCAAGGCGAGCGCTCTACCACTTAAGCCACAGCACCACTTCCAGTTTTCTAGTTGTTTATTGAAGATAAGAGTCTCACAGACTTTCCTGCCCGGGCTGGCTTTGAACTGTGATCCTCAGATCTCAGCCTCCTGAGTAGCTAGGATTACAGGTGTGATCATGCCCCTGGCACCCAGCCTTGGTTAATTTTTTTTTTTTTTAATGGGAAAGGTCAAGAAAGAAACTAAACATCAAAAGTAACACTGAGCTCCATTTATATTGGCTGTTGTCAAGAGTGGCAATTGAGTGGCTTTGGGACATGAAGATGCTGAGCGTTGACATGGAAAGCCCAGGAGCACAGTAATGAAAGGTGGCAGGGACACAAAATGAAGGTGAGTCATCCGTTTTGTGTGACCCAGCATGGCCAAAATGGCCAAGAATCTGAGAAAGGGGAAACATTTGCCCACATAGCTGCTGAGCTCAACAAACAGAAAAGAAATTTTAGAATTCCGGGCACAGTGCTGAGAGTATAATGAGATGGGATATCTGATGCTTATTTCTTATTTATTACTGTGTTTGTGCTCATTAAGCAAGATTTTGAGTTCAGTAAATCCTGAGCACTTTCTGAAGTTTAAGTAGAAATCCATCTAGTACCATCAAAGACATTATACCATGTAATTTAAATTTAGAAGTTATGTGTACATTTTTTAAAAATAGTATAAAAATTCGATGGAGAAAAAAAGCAAATGATACCTTACCCTGAACCACAATTTCCCAGAAATGACTTAATTTTTTAACTTCCACTTTTTCTCGAAGGGCTTTCAGGAAAGTGTTGAAGCGCTGCTCTTCTGAAAACTGTGAGAGGGAATAGGGACAGAGGAGGCAACGAGTCAGAGCAAATACAAAACTGACAAACAACTATTATTTTTGAAGCCATCCTATTTATATTAAAAGAAAAAAAAAACCTACACTAAAGGTTTCACTTTGGTAAATAGAAGCTGGCAATTAAAATTTGCTTTGTTCATTTTGAACCAGAAACCTTTTATCCATGGAAGACACAGAGATTTTCATAGCCACACAGAATTTTTTGGAAGCCTACAGTTCTGCTTTAGTATGTATTTACAGATAATTTCAAATGAAACTAGAGAGAATGACTTAGTGAGTACTAATGTGCTGATCACTCAGCTTCAGTAACTGTCAATCCAATGAATCTTGACTCAACCATGCCTCCACCTTTTTTAAGAAAACATATTCAAGTGCCATTCTATATCACATAAAATTATCAATTACTTGTGAAGGTTAAAATGTGTTTGTGACTTTAAGTGTCACTATTCCACAATACTGTGAAATACGTGAAATTTATGTAATCACCTAATATCAACTTTTTTAAAAAAGAAGAAAAAAAAGAAAGAAATATCCCAGTAATTCAAAAAAAACCAGTTACTTAACAAGACCCAAGAACTGGTTGGTGTTTATTTTCTTTTTTGTCATTTTTTAATTAAATATATTTTGTTGTTACTATAAAGATGATGTACAGTGGAGTTACAATTACATAAGTCAGGTAAAGAGTCCATTTCTTTTTGGACAATGTCACCCTTTCCTTTGCTCTCTCCCAGTTTTTCCCTCTTGTCCTTGCATGTAAGTGTATAGTTCATTTTCAACAGTGTCCAGTGAGTATCACTGCTGCATTTATTTGCCCTCCATTTCTGTGCCTCTTTTACCCCCTCAGAGACAGATAAAAGAGCAAAGACAAAAAGGAAAGGAAAAAGAAACTCTTTTCCATTTCCTAGAGGTCATTTTGGTAAATATCATTTTATATGATCTGAGGCACATAGGCATTGCGCCTTTGTGTTCCTCTCCTAAGAGCATCCTCATTTGGTCTCAAAGTGTGTGATGCCTGGAGTCCTATATAATTCATCATGTTCCAGGGTACTTTAGACCTAGCTTCCTTCTGCATATGAGAGAAAACCATACACTGTCTCTCTGAGCTTGGTTTCCCTCACTTAACATGCTTTCTAGGTCCTTTCTTCCTTATTTTTCAATTTAAAAAAAAGTCTATATTTCCAGGCACAGTGAATCAAGTCTATAATCCTAATTACTTGAGGCCAGCCAGACAAAAGTTTGCAAAACTTTACCTCAACCAATGGCTGGATACAAGGGAGTGTACCTCTTATCCCAACTACAAGAGAGGCACAATGGCTATATGGCGAAGCACAATAGGAGAATTATGGTACCGGCCAGCTTCGACATAAGGCAAGACTCAAAATAACACAAAAAGAAGAGTGGCTCAGGTGGTAGAACTCCTTTCTAGAAAGTAGAAGGCCATGAGTTCAGACCCCAATATCACCCAAAAGGAGAGGTGATTACATTGATTGTTGTATATCTAGTCTCTTAGGCTTTTCCTCCATTCTCATTTATTGTTTTGCAATGATGGGGACTGAGGTGCATGCTAGGTCTGTGCTCTACTACTGAGCTATACCCTAGACCTCTTTTTATCGCGCGAGCGCGTGTGCGTGCGTGCGTGCGTGCGTGCGTGCGTGTGTGCGTGTGTGTGTGTGTGTGTGTGTGTGTGCCAGGGCCTGGGCCCTGTCCCTGAGCTTCTTTTGCTCAGGCTGTTTGGTAATTATTTATTAGAGTCCCACAGGCTTTCCTGTTCAGACTGCCTTTGAACTGCGAATCTCAGATCTCAGTCTCCCGAGTAGCTAGGATTAGGGGTGTGAGCCACCAATGCTGGCTAGACTTCTCTTTTTTAGGCACTTAATGTCACAGACATTAAGCAGCAATAGCCAGCAGAATGTTATCTGATGCTCCATCAAGCCTGGGGGCAGTGCTTTAAAAAGCAATACATTTTTTACTGTCATTTTTTTTCCTTTCTAGCTAAATCTTTCTCTATCCAAATGAGTCATCCTTAGTCTAGTCTAATCTTGTCTTTCATCTGTAGACTATTTGGGTCATTTACTTCTAAATCTTTTGTTCTAATTTAATTTTAATAAATTTCTCATTTTCTTGTAATTCTCTGTAAGCCCTTAAATTATTCAAGCATTAGTTAATTCATTTATTTAGCAAATAACCACACAAAAATATATACTAGCCCAAGCCCAGAGTACAAGCCCCTTGACTGACAAAAAAAAAAAAAAAGAATATATACTAACAACTGTGCCTACTTTAAAAATATATTGAGATTTGAGGATCGCAGTTCGAAGCCAGCCCAAACAGGAAAGTTTGTGAGACTTATCTCCAATAAACTACCAAAAAAAATCTGGAAGTAGAGCTGTAGCTCTAGGGGCAGACCACTAGCCTTAAGCCAAAAAAAGAAGCTCAGGGATACCACCCAGGTCCTGAATTCAAGCTCTAGGACTGGCAAAATAAATGGATAAATACATAAATCTGTAATTTCTATTTCAAATTTGCTTGCCTCTTGCCTAGGTATAAATACATAGGCCTATATATAATTTGGAAGACTTTTTTAGAAGTGTTTTCTAAAATTTTGCAATTGAAAATATGAATAAATTGAAAATACACACAAATACACATAAGGATGGAGAGGAAGACTGAATAATTATTTTTCAGCGTTTTTTTTTTCTAGCATCTAGATTCTTCATCCTGTCTTTGTAAAGAACTTCTTGATTATTACTTAGCTCATCCTTCACAATAGTGACCATCAGAGGTTACCATGGAAATTTCCTCAGGTTCTCTTAAGTAGGAACCTAAAGCCAAGTCTTTAGAGTTCTGAAAAGCTAATTTCTGGGAATAAGATACCCCACCTAACCACCCATTGATCCTCAGAAATGACAAAGATGGCAGTAGTATTACTATGTCTCATGGATTATAGTGCTCTGTACACCTAGAATGAAAACTTGGAAAGCCTTGGCTTATTTGTGGGGTGTTAGTTTGCCTCTCCCCATGACAGATGGGGAAAGATAATACAGGAGAGGACAGTTACCTGAATAGCTTCTTCTCGGAAAGCTTTGATGCAATCCATGCTCTTCATAAAATATGGTGTTTCATTTGTCTCCAAAAATTGTTCAATGTGATTTATTAGCTGGTGACTTACTAGAATATAAGATAATACATTTATTTTCCTCAATGTGAGTGATAATTGTTGGACAAAGTTTGCTTCTTGGTAAGTGACAACAAGAATGAACTCCTGGTTAGTGTGCACAACACCACATTTCTTTTAGGAGTGATAAGATATAAAACTCGGACTTCACAAGTCTATACTTGAATTCAGGTAATACTGACTGGCATTTTTCAAGAAATAAAATTTAATTTCTAAAATACTTGGAATTATAGTTTTACCTTTGAGATGATAAGTACTAGGTTGTAGCGGTTTTTTTGTTTTGTTTTATTTTGATCTTATTGTTGCTTTATACCACCCTTCCCTGCCAGAATCTAGGGGCTGGTTTGGACAACTCAAAACTATGTTTCCTAATATAATAAAAGAAAATGAATTCTCTAGTCCCTCCCCAACTCTACTCAGGATAACTGTTAGGTTGTGCCAGGCAGTGCAAAGTACTGAGCCACAGACATCTAGCTTTGACTGATCCCAGATTAAATTAGAGAAGAACAGCCTTGGTCTTAACATAGCATCCATTAGAAAGAAAAATCATTACTATATATCTTATGTCTTTAGTTGGACCTGATTATTTCCTGTGTTGCTCCCACTCTACCAGCTAGCAAACTGCCAGCAAGCAATGTATAGGGGGAAAACCGCAGGAAAAACAGAAAGTGTAAAGTAATCAGGGAACTTAATTTGCTGAAGTCACAAGTGACCCTTAAGATCTTTATCAAAGAACAAACGAAAGCAAGGTGACCAGGTACAACCTGAGGCTCACAGTTTCTCCTCTGAAAGCACCCACTAGCTGGCTGGTAGGGGATTAATGCCAAATGGTCAAGATATTCTAAAACCGCCATGTTTACCAAAATCATGACCTCATTTCAACATTCTAATAATTAAAAATGTATTATGAATACAATACTAAAGCAAACTACTTAGCAGAGTGATCTGAGCATTGTTCAATGCTTATGAAAGATATGAAATTGGTGCCAAGGAACTAATAGCATTAGGAAAGAATTATAGAACTGAACAAACCATTTTCCAATATAGTGATTATGCCACAAAGGAAAAACATCCCTCAGTCACCATTTTATCTCTTCTACCAACCAGATTATGATCTCCATCATAATAACAAATTTTAGTTAACAAACTTCAAGAATTAAGAAAATATTTCTCTGCAATTTCAGAAGCCTTTACCTATGTCTCTTCCAGCAGTGGCTTAATATCCAAGTATAATTCAAAGGAGACAAAGCATGTTCAGATGGTCTTTTCAGACAAGGTAAATAATGCAACCCTGATTAGCAGGCTGAGCAGAAAACTCATCAGCAAGAAGCTCAAAGCAAAAAAGAAGTGATCTTTCCTGCTCAGAAAGGCAAAGTACCAGAAAGGTTTGATATTTCTCATATCACATACAGCAGCCTACTTTCTCAGAGAGTTTGGTGTAACATTTTTTCAGCTGGGCACAGGTGGCTCACGCCTATAATACTAGCTACTTAGGAGGCTGAGATCTGAGGACTGCAGTTCAAAGCCAGTCGGGACAGGAAAGTCCATGAGACTCTCATCTCCAATAAACCATCAGAAACTCGAAGTGGTGCTGTGGCTCAAGTGGTAGAGTGCTCGTCTTGAGCTGAAGAGCTCCAGCACAGCGCAGCGCAACAGGCCCTAAATTCAAGCCCCATGACCAACAAAAATAAAATAAAATAAATTTAAAATTCAGCATTATATATCTAGGCACAAATAAAAACCTCTGCAGCCAAAGCAGCAATCTCAGAGATTCCACATTCTCCATTCCTTTTGAGACGTGAATAAAGAATCTTAAGATGCTATAATATAAATATTTCCCTTTGATTTATTTAATGATTATTTTCATTAATTTATCCTAGCTTTTTTTTTTCCTGTAACAACTATGGAAAAGACACTTTGCAGAAATCAAGTGCTAATGGCTCATACTTATAGTTGTAGCTACTTGGGAACTGAGATCTGGGGGATTATGGTTCAAGACAAGCCTGGATAGAAAAGTTTGCTAGACTCACATCTCCAGAATAACCACCAAAAAAGCTGAGCTGTAAGTATGTCTCAAGTAGTAGAGTACCAACTGAGTAAGCAAGCACAGTGAGCAGGAGGTCCTGAGTTTAAACCTCAGGGTTAAAAAGAAGAAAAGAGCAGGGAGCTGGTGGCTCACGCCTGTAATCCTAGCTACTCAGGAGGCTGAGATCTGAGGATCATGGTTCAAAGCCAGCCCAGGCAGGAAAGTCCGTGAGACTCCTATCTCAAATAAACCACTAGAAAACCGGAAGTGGTACTATAGCTCAAGTGGTAGAGTGCTCGCCTCGAGCTGAAGAGCTGAGGGACAATGCCCAAGCCCAGAGTTCAAGCCCCACGACTGACCAAAAAAAAAAAGAAGAAGAAAAGACATTATTGTTATGTTCTGAAAGAAACACAATTAAGTTGGAAGACCCTTGCCTTTAAGGAATTTACAGTCTACTAGGGAATATAACATACAAAAATAGTAACAGACAATAAACATCAAGAGGGCTGACTTACAAAATTATATTAATTGAGCTCAAAAGTTTTGCATATTACTCTGAATTTTTAAAAAATCTTGGGTAATTATAGCAAGCTTTCTGATTGAACAATAAAAAGAAGAGCTGGCTACTGTCTAGCAAGAAAACAAAATGACCCTAAGTATGAAAAGCAGAGGTGAAAAAAAAAAATCTACAGGATATGTGTGACACAAATCAAACAGTCCCCTCCCTGGACAAGAGCAGAGGAAGAAAAAGGAGAAGAACTAGGCAAGAAACGGTAGAAGGGAACAAAAGGAACACATGTGAGGCTCCTGAGGGAAGGCTTGATTCCTTAGAAAGCCTGGAAGAATGAAGTGGGTCTAGGAATTACAGCACTGAGAAACTCTGGATAGAAGAAGAGAGCTGCTTCAAGTAACTAAAAAGTAATAGGAGGGCTGGGAATGTGGCTTAGTGGTAGAGTGCTTGCATAGCATACATGAAGCCCTGAGTTCTATTCCTCAGCACCATATAAATGGAAAAAGCCGGAAGTGGTGCTGTGGCTCAAGTGATAGAGGGCTGGCCTTGAGCACAGAGAGGAACAAGTACAGTGCTCAGGCCCTGAGTTCAAGCTCCAGGACTGGCAAAAATAAAAAATAAAATAACAGGAAAGGAAAATCAGTAGAATTCATATCACAGATACGAAGAGAAAAGATTTTAATAATAAAGTAAAAGTTTATAAAGAGACCAAGGAATTAAAGGTTGAAGTTTAGGGAATCCTATAGGCCAGGAGCCCTGAAGCAACTAGAGCTACCAAATTCCTCTGCAAAAAATACAGTTTCCTGACCCATTTTATCTCAAAATATGAGAGAATAAGCATGAATGTGCATACACACATGGTGGGAGCGGGCACATTTTAATTTACAGAAGAAGTTATTCAAAAGAAATAACAATAAGCAAATGCCAAAGCCAACAATCCATCAGCAATCACTATTTGTGAAAGTCATATAAGGAAAATGAAGTAAGGATTGCAACAATCTACTTTCTAGTTAGGAAGGAAACCTCATGTATCTGTGGTCTTTTCTGGACTCAGTTTTTCTTATTTACATGTCAGACTATTTTGTCCTTTCTTCCAGATTGTTCAAAAACACAGGCAGGTATACACATCCAAACATTAATAAATAGAGCCAGATTTTGCCCTTCTGGAAATGGTTAGTCATAAGGCCAGCACATGTGGTCCATGATTCTGAATGCTATCCCTTTACCTACGAAGACTATCTTGTGGTTCCCTAACTATAAAGAACCATTTAACATGAGGGAATAAATGTGATAAATAATGCTTTATATAGTGAATAATAGGATGAGATGTGGACTTTCACTTCCCAAGTTTGGTGGCACTTTCCCTTTTCCTGTCATTTTTTACAAACATGAAATGCAGGAGGAGCTAACAAAAATAAGATTATACCTTGGTTGGATTATGCTTGACTTCTTGTCCTCCTCTGCCTATGTACAGAAAATACCGGCTACCAGGGTGCTCTTCTCTGCTTGTACAGAAATTATAAGCCTAAGTCAAGTCTTCATACTCAGTAAGTCATAGCCCCAATTATAATCACCAAACTGTTCTTCAACATTAGCCAGTGACTCAATAATACTCATTAGTAGCTAATGTGAAAAATGGCCACTGGAAGGGCCATCCATCCATCTTAGGATACTAAGTCAGGCACAGGGCTATCAATTATCTCAAAGAAGACTTAAAAAATGTCTAATTTAGATTTTGAGGCTTTATATATGAGCTGTATATATTGGCCCAGTATCTTACCTAAGTACAAACGCCGATATACCAAGTTAACTTCAATACACTCATACCTCAGAGTTACCTTAAAAAATTTTGTGGATTCATGTATTTTGTAAGAGGAAAATGTCCTTTTCCTTTTTTTCCTCTGAAATATATGTCCTCCCTCTCTAACAGAAAACATTCAATACCATCCAAAGTCCTACAAAATGGACCACCTTCCTTCTTGGTTCATATAACAAGGGCCAAAAACCTAAGGCTGTGAGCTTCTGGGATTTGGACTATGTTTACTCACTACTTTGGCTTAATACAAAAAAAAAAATTTCCAGTCCAGTGAAAGGAAATAATCTATTATGGATTTTTCCCTTTATCTAACAGAGATAAAATAGTAGTAGAGTCGTTCATCGATCACACACCATGTATGAAGTTGTTGAAGGAGTCTAAAATGATTTTACCGAACCCAGGATATTTCCCAATTTAATTCTCACTATCTCATGGTTCATATAAATTTTCCTCCTTGAAAACATCCCTTTTGCAGATGTCAGTAGCTAAATCATTTAAAAATGTTAAGAACACATTTACATACCCAATAACAATATTATCTTTATAAAACAAAATTAAGCCTGGCGCTGGTGGCTCACGCCTGTAATCCTAGCTACTCAGGAGGCTGAGATCTGAGGGTTGCCGTTCAAAGCCAGCCCGG